ACCAATGGCTGTTTCTAGGGTGAAAAACTATTGCTGGGCTTAAACTGATAGGATCAGCAAACATGGAATGAGCGGCTCTCTTTCTCCTTCCTTAGCCTGCAGTCTCCCTTGAGGGTTCCCTATTGGGAGAACCTAACATGAGGTCAGTGGGGAGAAAAGAAATATAGTCCACAGAGAGCTAGTGTCAGCATCACAGAACAAAATATAAACAAGTGTGTTTGGTGCCGGGAGATGGTAGCTGTCAAATGACAAAAATAAAACCGTTTACTTTTATGTCCTTTATTTAAGGGGAAACAATCAATGGATTGGAGGAGCACAGTGCCTCAGAAGCAGTGGAGTACTCTTTCCAAGGATGTTTGGGCAGGAGTGAGTTGTATAGGTTGTTAGAAGCAGCAACACAGAAATAGGGCATGATTGGTTAGGAGGTTGGAGAGTTCTTCATAAGGCTACCAGGTCAATTAGGGCATAAGGAAAATGTATTTGTCTTAAATTGATTACCCTGGGGTTGCATATCTGACCTTATTTAGAACAAGGATATCAGAACAGATTCTTGGTGTTTGAGGACTGACTGGCTGGAAATACTGTGTTTCTGGTCAAGCAGAGCATTTACAAGGACACGAAAGTTATGTAAGTTTGGGTTTGCTGACGTGGCACCCTACGTCCTTCAGAGTTCCTCCTTTTCTCTCCATCCCCACTGCTGCTCTTCTGCCTTTGTGTGGTACCATAATCTCTCAGTTGACCTAATGCAGTAGCCTCCTAACTGGTCTTGCTGTTTTCTCTCTTGTCTGCCTCAAATCCACTCTCCACACATTGGCCAGAGTATTGGCTTTATTATATAAATGAAATTCTGATCATGACACTCCTTTAATCAGATGCTTCTAGTGGGAGGCATTAGACAATGTGGTGAGTTAAGATCCCTAGGTATGCTCTACTGAACCTCTCTTGGGGGTCAAGTCTTTGGGCTACACCTTGAAGGAGCCTCTTTTCCCTCACAGGGAGTTAGGTGCTGGTCAGCTGGGGCTGGCTATAAACACAGCCATAGGAAATGGACGTCTTTAATTTTAAGCCTGTAGTGTCTGACTCAAATATTATTTCTTGATAGATGTTCATGTGTGAAAATAGTTTCCTAGAACTTTTTCTCTTCTGTTTTTGTAATTATGGCTCAGTTTGCCATCTAGTGAACCTTAAACAATTTTTAAAAATTGCTGTTTCTCAGACCTCATTAGGACAGTGTTTCACCATGAGGGGTATGAGAACACGCTAACCCCAAATATGCCTCTTTGGCATATGGATTATTTTTTTGAGCCAAAGGCCATTGAGAACCAGCAGATGCAAGACAAGATTTAAAAACAGGGTACAAGTTTTCCTTTTGTAAAGGAAATTTATATCTATAAAGGAAATTGACATTAGTAGAAGACACTGAACAACTTGTAGCAATAAAGGGGGCATTGACTTAAATCTGCCTGACAAACTTTATTATTCAACCCTTGTTTACCTCACTTTTCCTGCCACCTCTCCATAACTTGCCTCCGCTCCCCTTCCAACCTTCCCCAGAAGCCCCAAACACCTTTCCTTTAGCCTAAGATGGTATCTAGTCGTAAATTCTAAACACCTCTTGGAGTTCCACATCCCCTGAGTTTCTCTCATGTATATATAAGATATATATGCTAACAAACTTCCCTTTGCTGTTCTCTTGTTGGTCTGTCTTTTGTTGAACCCCAGCAAGAACCTAGAAGGGTAGGAAGAAAAAGGTTTTCTTTCCTCCTCTACGACTATATTCCATTCTCACAGTATAAGTGATCCAAGTCCTCTTTCTTCACCTTTAATTCTCCTGTTGGCCTAGAAGAGGTTTTTTCTACCTTAGCACTACTTTGGGCAGGATAATTCTTGTCTGTGAGAGGCTGCCCTGTACACTGTAGGACGTTTAGCAGCATCCCTGGTATCCATCTTCTAGATGCCAGTATCATGCCCACACCTGGTTGTGACAACCAAAAATGTCTCGAGAGAGTGCCCTGTATTTTTATTTGCTACATCTGGCAGTCTTACCTGGGGAGAAAAATCATCCCTGATCAATGTTCACTGGCCTAGAGACAAGTGTTTCGCCACTTGCAATGAATCAACTGCTTTTTTATTACTTTGTTTTTAGTGTCATCCATCCATTCAAACATTTCATCTTTCACAATTATAATGAGTATTGTGCCTTTAGAACCAGACTGTAGGGCAGGAAAAAGAATTTTCCCTCTACCCTTCTAGGTTCTATGGCTGAGAATCCGCCTGTAATAAAGACAGATTAACAAGAGGAAATCAAACAGAAGTTTAATAACATGTACACCTCATGTACACATGGGAGAGACCCAGGAAAACTCTTGGAGATATCCAAGCCACCACCTTAAATACCTCCTTCAGCTAAAGAGAAAAGAAGATGTTGGGGGAGGGGCAGTTATGGGAGGTGACCAAGAAAAGCACAGAAAACAAGGGTAAGGGTGTTATGCAGATTTAAGTCATTGCCTTCTCCACTGATAAATTTCCAGAAGTCATCCTTTTTTTCCTGGTACAGTGAGGGAGACACTTTTACAAATGGAGAATTCCCTCATAAATGTAAATCTCCCTTACAAAAGGGTAAATTCTACTGCTTCCAGAGATCTGCAGTTTTTCAAGAATAATCAATTCAAAATAATCCTTATGCTAAAAAGACATATTTTAGGGTGACACATTCTGCTACCCTTTGTCAGGAAGGAAAAAAACCTTTCCTCTACCCATCTAGGTTCTTCTGGTTGGTCTAAGAATTAAATTGACAAAAGACAGATTAACAGGAAAAAATCAGATTAAATTTTGTACAGATAGGAACCCAACATACATGAGAGCTTCAGTGACAGAAAAGTAAAATAACGTATGTGTGCTATCCTGAGCTAGGGAATGGGACAGGGGCCTGGGGCTTCCAAGGACAGGAAGTTCATTCATGGGATAATAATAAAAAGAGGACATGTTTAGTAATTAAATATTTGTCCTGCCATATTAGTTGGGCCACTTAGGTAAAATTTACCTCCAGTAATAACATTTTTCTGGGAAAAACCCCCAACTTAAGTTCTTCTAGGTAGTTAAGGGAGGGGCAGTAGTTTCCCTTGAACCCACAGGATCTTGATTGCCTTTAGTTCGAAATAATCCTCATGCCAAAGTGGCACATTTTGGGGAAGCTTGTCCTGAACCCTTACACCTTCAAGGGAGAGATGCAGAATCCAAATAGAGGAGTTGCGGTCCTGATAAGAAATTAGAGAAGACTCTTTTTTTTTTTTTTTTGGCCTCACCACATGGCAGGCGGGATTTTAGTTCCCTGACCAGGGATTGAACCCGTGTCCCCTGCAGTGGTAGCGCAGAGTCCTAACCACTGGACTGGCTGACAGGGAATTCCCTAAAGACTTTTGAGTTCAGTTAGGGTGAAAAGAGTTTGCAGAAACTGCAAATTAGTTAGAAGAGGTTACAAAGAAAGCTAAAGGGGATTACGAGAGATTTGCATAAGAGAGTGAAAGATTTAAGTCAGTGGGAAAGACACTTAAATGTCTTAGGAAATAAAGAAATGCAAAATGAAACTAAGCCAAAGAGGAAGTCAGCTGCAATCTTAGTGGGTATTGCAGGCTTCCCTCTCCAACAGAAGAATTAGCTAATTCTTAAAACTCCTGGGAGGTTGGCCCCAAAGCTAAGTCATATATATATATAGGCTCATATATATAGGCTCAGGCCTTGGATCCTGGCACCAAATCTTGGCCACAAAGAACCTTAACTGATCACATCAGTTTGCTTGGGATGGTTGAACGCTTTCTCTCATAGGTGTGTGTATGGGTGTTTTAATTCTGGGAAAGTTTAGCACTTTGCTGTGATTGTGTTAAGTTCAGAGAAAATGTGTGAATATTTGGTATCATATTTGGTATATAAAATATCGTGGATGTTTAAGAGACTTGGCATGTTAGCAAGTTTGACCAAGTGGCCTGGTGTTTCCATTTAAAATGTATAGGAGAGTAATTGATGTATAATAGAATAATTGATTTTAGACTTATGATTTTAAAATGGAATGTTATAAATTGACTAAATTCGAAAACAGTATTAGAATGTTTAGGATGACTTAATATTTATTATATTAGAGTAAGTTTAGTTTATTAGATTTACAAGATTGTTTAGCTGGGAAAATATTACTCTAGGCTCAGAATTAAAGTGCTTATAAAGGAAAATCAAATATGGTAACACTATAAGTGTAATTTAAACCTTTTAGTATAATTGAATTCACTAGAATGTAAATGGGACTGATATTTCAAAAAGTTTAGGTTTTTTTTTTTTAAGTTTAGTTTTTTTTTTTTTCCGGTACGCAGGCCTCGCACCACTGTGGCCTCTCCCGTTGCGGAGCACAGGCTCCGGACGCGCAGGCTCAGCGGCCAGGGCTCACGGGCCCAGCCGCTCCGCGGCATGTGGGATCTTCCCGGACCGGGGCACGAACCCGTGTGCCCTGCATCGGCAGGGGGACTCTCAACCACTGTGCCACCAGGGAAGCCCAAGTTTAGGTTTTTTAAATTTGAGTTGCTCAAACTTTACTCAAAGATGCCCTTGAATGTGATTATGAGCACATTTATGTATATAAAATACTATAGCTCATAAATTGACTTTATTATTTTAATTAGTCTATAGTAATAAAAAATATCAAGGAATAATAAATAAACTTATGTGTGCATAAAGATAGCAATAATCCATCCGTTTTAAAGATTATTTTTCATGAAGGTCAAGTCCTGTGCAGACATATATGGTTCTAACAAGCGAGTTCGTTTGCACTTAGCCTTTGGCAATAGCCACTGAAAACCAGATTTCAATTAGGAAATGTCCTAAACACAATATCCTGTTTTGAGCCCTGAGTCCTTTCTGCCCGTGTGAGAACTTTTCTTCCCCCCTCGTCTTTGCTTCCTTTTTTTCCACATGTCACCACTGGCAGAGTAGGTATGACTCAGAAACCGGTTCCTCGGGGTTGTAACATTAGATGATGCGCAACTTGGGTGATTCATTACACGGTAAACTAATGCCCTTGTTTCATTGGGTTGGGCTCTCTGGAAGGTGTGCTGCTGTGTAGGTGGCTGGAAGAACACTCACAGGTGTGGAAAGAAAGGACTTGCCACCGACCTGGGCTTCTAGGGACCTTTCTCTTGACTGGGAAGGATTTTGATGTTAATGTGATGTTAAATATCTCCAGAAGATTCAAGAAGCTGTGAAATAAGTCTGTGAAGGACCAGCATGGGAATCCTATACTCTGAGGTATGTAACTTCTCTGGAAATAAGATTCCCAAGATGTTAAAAATCGCTCATGCTTTTCAAATGGAATTTCCTATTCCCATGAATGCCTCCTTTTCATCTGTCTAACTTTCTGTAAGAGCATTAAGTTAAAACAAAGTCCAGTGTGCTAGTTTTTTTGATGTTTTAACATTTTAAGGCAAATTATTTTGCAATCCTAAAACTTTAGCTAGATAGTAGCTTGTAGAGAGCCGTATAGTATACATGTCATGATGTCCAGATGTTTGAGGGGGTAATCTGGATCTGTAAAATGAAATTTATGAAAAGAGAGTTAATGGAGTTGTGTTTTCTGATGTCAAACATCTAGAGGACAAGTAAAAATTGTCTTCAACTGGATTTTCTGAACAGACTAAAGATAGCCTGGCTCTTTTATGGAAATGTGTGTATAGAGTAATGCCTTTCTGCTTGATATTTGAAAGGAGATTTCACCTCTAGCAATTACTAATAAAGTCTATCCCTGTATAGAAGGAGGATAAAAACAGAATGTAGTTTTGATATTTTGAGATTTTTCTTTTCACAGCTGATGGATACAGAAATGCTTTTTCCTGTATTGAGAGTAACGTATTAGAATCAAATAGATTGTTAACAACGTTTCAAAGGAGTACAACAGGGTGATGTTTCAACAAGAGTCCAAGAGGTGTAATGACGTATTCATGATTCATGATTTATTCATGTATTCATGATTTGCTCCCTTTCCTCTCTGACACAAATAACTGGTCGGTCTGCATTTCATTGCAGATGCTCAACAGAACCTCTCTGGGTGCTTCTTCTAATACTAAAGGCAGTTTCTCAGTGTTGGCAGTTATGTCTAATGCCAGGGGTGTGTGTGTGTGTGTGTGTGTCTTTCTGTAGTCAACTTTTCTTTGATTAGTTTATATTTCTAGATATGTCTTGCCCAATGACTTTAGGCTAGTAAAGAACTCACATATATGAAAATGTCAACACATGTAATGTTCTAAAATACTACTCTGCCCTTTTTTTTTTTTTTTTTTGCGGTACGCGGGCCCTTCACTGCTGTGGCCTCTCCCGTTGCAGAGCACAGGCTCCGGACGCGCAGGCTCAGCGGCCATGGCTCACGGGCCCAGCCGCTCCGCGGCATGTGGGATCTTCCCGGACCGGGGCACGAACCCGTGTCCCCTGCATCGGCCGGAGGACTGTCAACCACTGCGCCACCAGGGAAGCCCCTCTGGCCTTTCTTAAGCCCTAGATTGCCTAAGCACCAGGAAGTGGAACTTGTTGAAAATGCAGTTTCAAGGGCCCCTACCCCAGAGAGTCTGTTTCACTCAGTTTGAGGTACGGTTCAGAAACCTGCTTTTTAGCGGAGCCTCCCAAGTGATTCTGATGTAGGTGATCAGTTTACCACCCCTGGGAGAGAAACACTGCTCTCGGCTAGTGCTTTTCAAATTTAAATGTGCATACAGAGCACTCAAAGATCTTGTTCAAATGCAGATTATTATTCTATAGGTCTGGGTGGGGCATAAGATAATGCATTTCAGCTCTGCAATACGCTGCTGGCCCTGTACCATGCTGTGCGAAGCCAGACTGTAGTCTACAGTCTAGGTCCTGGAAATAATTACTTAAGGAAGTCTTTGCGTGTAATTGTTTGTTGATGGGGTGTGGATTTGGCAAGTGGTTGAGTCAAGGCAAGGCATTGATACTTATAAGTATCAGTGAGAATATCCCTGGAAGTGGAATGAACTTTACACTTTTCAGATATATTGAGGACAAAGCAAGGTGGAATCTACTATGGTATTTGAAAGCAAATACAACAATCACACACACACGCACACACGCATACACACACCCCTAAAAGACCCTAACTTATCTAGAAGCTCATAAGTAATTATTCAAAGCTCATAATTAACATTGAATCAAAGATAGTGTCAACTAAAATAATATATGCACAACCTAAAAATTGAGAGTAGTGTTTTATTCAGCGGACACACTGAGGACTTCAAGCCCGGGAGGCAGCATCTCAAATAACCCTGAGAAAACTGCTCCAAGGAGGCGAGGGTGAACTAGGACAGATAGGAGTTTTGCAGCAAAGGGCAGGTAGTAGGAAGAAAAAGTTACTGTTAATAAAAGAAAACTAGATATGTCAAGCTAAGGAATTTACTGCTTTTCTATGTATGGGAAGATGCAAGAGTCTGGGCTCACTAAAATCACTCCTTTGATATGCACCTCAGCTATATGGGGCCAGGATCCTGTGTTTTCATATCCTGAGCTTCCACAGGGCTCACCTTTGGAGTGGCTGCAGTCTGATGGCTGCTAGATGGCAGGTATTCTTTGTTTCCTTCCTAAATTCCCTCGGGGCTCACCGGCTCACCTTTGGCGGCTGGTGGTGACCGCAATTGCTGATGACTGTGACATCCTTTGTTTACTGTTATGACAGGCAATATTTTATTTCTCAATAATCTTAAGTAGTGTTGGGATAAATGGTGTTTCCATGCAACTCAGTATCACAAGTGATACTACTTTGCGTAACTCAAAAAGGTACTTAGAACTTGGGCTCGCATAGCATCTTAACAAAAGAAAAATAAATTTTTAGATGAGTGGCAAGACAAAGGAAAAGTGCTTTGAGTTTCTAAGGCAGCAAATTGAGGGAAGGCAAATATGTAGGGGAGCTAATGGAAGACAAGGGCTAGTTAGAAATGTTACTCTGTAGATTACTTTGGTGACTTCTCTGGGCTGACAAAGGTAATTTTGTCCTTCCTGGTAGACAGAGAAGGGGCAACACCTTCACATATTTATGTCCTGCTTTTAGCTAAAGAGGGGGAGGGCAGAGAACATTCTTTGTATCTGCTTCTTCTCAATTGCCTTTAGTTCAAAATAACTGTTACACTAAGAGGTGTAGATTGGGATGCATATTCTGCTACCCTCTGGAGGCTTGCATTGCTAATAGTTATGCTATTATATATATAGCATATATATATATTTATTGAGGTATAATTGACATAACATTATATTAGTTTCAGGTGTACAAAGGAATGATTCAATATTTGTATATACTGCAAAATGATCACCACAATAAGTCCATTAACATCTGTCATCACATATAGTTACAATTTTTTTTTTTTTTTTTTTTTTTGCGGTACGCGGGCCTCTCACTATCGTGGCCTCTCCCGTTGTGGAGCACAGGCTCCGGACGTGCTGGCTCAGCAGCCATGGCACATGGGCCCAGCCGCTCCGGGGCATGTGGGATCCTCCCGGATCAGGACAGGAACCTGTGTCCCCTGCAACGGCAGGCGGACTCCCAACCACTGCGCTACCAGGGAGGCCCATAAATTTTTTTTTTTTTGATGATAACTTTCAAGATCCACATTCCTAGCTGCTTTCAAACATGCAATGCAGTATTATTAACTACAGTCACCATGCTGTACATTACATCCCAATGACTTATTTATTTTATAACTAGAAATTTGCACCTTTTGACCCCCTTCACCCATTTCTTACACCTCCGACCTGCTGCCCTGTCTCAGGCAACCACCAATCTAGTCCCTATATTCATGTGCTTTTGTGTGTGTGTGTGTGTGTGTGTGTGTGTGCTTGTTTGTTTGTCATTTTTCATTGTTGTTGTTTAGATTCCACATAAAAGTGAGAGCACGTGGTATTTATCTTTTTCTGTCTGACTTACTTCACTTAACATAATACCCTTAAGGCCCATCTTTGTTTTTGCAAATGGTAAAATTTTGTTCCTTCTATGGCTGAATAATATTCCATTGTGTATATGTACCACATCTTCTTTATCCATGTGTTCATCGATGGACATTTAGGTTGTTTCTAATATATGTGTAAGAAAGAAGGAGAGAATGAGGGGGTGTCCCAGAGTGGGTCCTAACCTCTGCAGTAGAGGATATGCTTAGAGCTCAGTGAGAGAACTAAGCTTGGATTGATCACCCCCAGCTATGCAGGCCAGACTTTTAAACAGGGCTGATTCATTTAAACCAGGGATCCCCAACTCCTGTTAGGAACCAGACCGCACAGCAGGAGGTGAGCTGCCAGCAGGCAGGCGAGTGAGGGAAGCTTCATCTGTATTTACAGCCGCTCCCCATCGCTCCCATTACTGCCTGAGCTCCGCCTCCTGTCAGATCAGCGGCTGCATTTGATTCTCATAGGAGCACGAACCCTACTGTGAACTGCACATGTGAGGGATCTAGGCTGTGCACTCCTTATGAGAATCTAATGCCTGATGATCTGAGGTGAAGCTAGCGCTGGGGAGCAGCTGCAAATACAGATTATCATTAGCAGAGAGGTTTGACTGCACAGAGACCATAATAAATCAATTGCTTTCAGACTCATATCAAAACCCTATCTGTGAGTGGCAAGTGCCAATTAAGCCGTATCTTACGGAGCAGACTGGACATAAGCAACACACTTCAGGTGTCATTGTCTCCCATCACCCCCAGATGGGACCATCTAGTTGCAGGAAAACAAGTTCAGGGCCCCCACTGACTCTGCATTATGGTGAGTTGTATGATTACTTCATTATATATTACAATGTAATAATAATAGAAATAAAGTGCACAATAAATGTAATGTACTTGAATCATCCCGAAAACATCCCCCCCTCCCCCGGTCCACAGAAAAATTGTCTTCCATGAAACGGGTCCCTGGTGCCAAAAAGGTTGGGGACCGCTGATTTAAACCCTTATCACACATACCTGTTCATACTATTTACAATAATAACAAGTATTTAATTAGACCTTTATTATGTGCCTGGCTGTGTTCTAAACATTTTAAGTGTATTAACTCGTTTAATACTCACCCAACCATATAAGAGAGTCACTATGATTATCCTTATTTTACAAGTGAAAAAACTGAGGCAAAGATAGTTTCAGGAACTGGCCTAGAGTTATGCAGCTAAAAAGTACTTACTGGCTAGAGACCTGTGTACATTCAGGGAAGTTGTGCTCATGTCCTGATGAACATGCTAAGTTCTTTCCCTAAAGCTCTCTCAACAGGCATGTCACCCTCCATAAATAAGCCGGTCTTAACCACTCTGCTCTTTTGCCAGCACTCTTCCCCACGAAGTTACACTATTGTCCTTTTCCCTTTGTTAGAAGAATAGGGTAAACTAAATCCAGGTTCCAATGAGGTACATTTTACTCCCAACCTGTAGAGAAGTGTTGCACACTGCAAAGTATTACAAAAATTAGAAAGAAGGAAGTTGTATAAGAACTTAAAGAGCTCAAGAATTTGTGCTTAGGAGATCTATAGAATCTTCTCCAGGCTCTTGTCCTTGTCAACTGGGGAAACAAGGCCTTAAAAGGAATATCTAGAAAATTATATTACAATCATGTATCCCTTTAAACTTGGGGAAAGTCTGATGTTAAAGTTACCTATGAACAGTGGTACCCACACACACACATACACACACTTTTAATATTAATGTTTTAGGAATATATCTGTTTTTCAGACAGGAAGATGTTACCATAGAAAAAGAGCATATGGTTTAAAGAAGAAGGGGATCATATTGAAATATACAGTGTCCAGAGAAAGCAATTGAGGCTGAGCAGGGCTTTTTGGGAGAGCTGGTATCATCGAAGAGGAGAACTCAGGGGGAACAAGAATAGAGATGCAATGAATGGGAAGGCCATTGGACTGGAAACCCAGGAAACCTAGAATTTAGTCCCTATTGTGCCAGAAACTCGGGGCAATTGGGGTAAATCACTTAACCTCTTCTGGTCACAGTTTTGATATATAAAACAGGATAGTTGGGTGAGATCCGGTTCAGCATGAAACATTGTGTCCTTCCATGATAAGGGAAAAGGAAAGGCAAAAGCAATTGAAAAAAATGCCCCCCTCACGATCTCTATCTACTTAGTTTGTGTATTGAATCCTTTCAACATTTTGGCATTGTATATTTATTTATTTTAAAAAATTATTTTATTTTATTTATTTTTGGCTGTGTTGGGTCTTCGTTGCTGTGCACAGGCTTTCTCTAGTTGCGGCGAGCGGGGGCCACTCTGCACTTTGGTGTGCAGGCTTCTCATTGCGGTGGCCTCTCCTGTTGCAGAGCATGGGCTCTAGGTGTACAGGCTTCAGTAGTTGTGGCCCGCAGGCTCAGTAGTTGTGGCTCGTGGGCTTAGTTGCTCTGCAGCATGTGGGATCTTCCCAGACCAGGGCTCGAACCCGTGTCCCCTGCATTGGCAGGTGGATTCTTAACCACTGCACCACAAGGGAAGTCCTGGCATTGTATATTTAAAAAAGAGCACCAAATAGCTTCTATCCCAATTGATTTCTTGATTCTTTCCTTGTATATTTTAAGTATTTTACAAGTGATAATGTGGTACTAAATCACATTTTAAAAAGGAAATGATAACTTCAATGTATGAACAGATACCATCACTAAACATTTGTAAATATTTATTCATTCACTCAGTCATCCATTTATTTAATCAACAATATTTATTGATCACATACTATATTCCAGGCACATGTTAGCTCCTGGTACATAGTGATAAATGAATAAGAGTAGATCTTGACCTCTTGGAGCTACCAGTGTAAAATGAATATACAAATTAAAAAAAATAATTGTAAGTAGTGAAAGAGAAATCAAGGAAGCAACAGGATAAAGAGAGAGTATATAAGAGGGGTGTGTATATGTAATTAGATTTGACTTGAAAGGCCCCAGTGAGGTAATGACATTCGAGCTGAACTCTGAGGAATACGAATCTAGTCTTGGGAATCTTGGGGAGCGTGTTCCGAACAAGGGGTGTATGTATGGAGAATCTGAAGCATGGGAAGTTGGGCCAGTTGGAATAACTGAGTGGTATATGAAAGGTATGGGTGAGAGCAGTTCATCTAGGTACAGGCAGTAAGAAGTTTTATTGTCTATTCCAAATTTAGAGACTAATATTACTGACTAAAGATAGATTTGCTTTTCGTCATCACGGTGCTCCAGTAATTCTAAATAATGTCAGTTTAACATGGTCATCCTCACCCTTGGGCAGCCATTGTTTGGCAGAAAGTCCTGGAGCCCAGGAGGCAGTGAGAGTGACACTACTGCTTCCTCAAAGCCCTGCATTTACGTCTTTGGTGGTCTGAGGTAGTAGGGAGATATCAGGGCCTCCAATTTGCTAGATCAAGCAGCTAGAAGCCACCCTTCCTCCGCCCTTTCTCCTCATGATTGGAGGCAAAGACTTTCTTGCCCTGCCCCGGCCTCAGAGCTTCTCAGGTCTCAAGTGTGGTAACGAAACTTCTTTAACTTCCTGGCCGTGAAGACATCATATTCTCAGAAAGACCTTGTTGGAGAAGGAATAGAAAATAGATAAATGTGTGTCCTTCCTTGGTTTCCCCTTCACTGTTACTATCCTCATAATCCAACAACTGCTGGGACTGTCCTTTATGTCACATAAAGGCTAAGTGGACCTAAGACAAAAAAAAAAAAAAAAAAAAATTCCTGTGCCTTTTTTATTTATCTGAAAGAAAGAATTTACTAAGAAATTTAAATCACAGTATGTGAAGAAATGAGTCATCAGAAGGAAAGCCTTGAGATTTATTGTACGAATAAAATAAAGCCTTCATTATCATTCCCTAAGATTTCCTAAGTTGAAGAGGAAGAAAACATCTTCTTGCCTTTTCTGGGAAGATATTTCATTAGTGTACACGTTTATCTTGTACACTATCTGAACCGTGTTGCATCAAAAGCCACAGATTCTCCTCAGAAATTGTGAGGGGACATTTTATTGTTTTTTTAATTAATTAATTAATTTATTTTTGCGGTACGTGGGTCTCTCACTGTTGTGGCCTCTCCCGTTGTGGAGCACAGGCTCCGGACGCGCAGGCTCAGCGGCCATGGCTCACGGGCCCAGCCACTCCGCGGCATGTGGGATCTTCCCGGACCAGGGCACGAACCCGTGTCCCCTGCACCAGCAGGTGGACTCTCAACCACTGCGCCACCAGGGAAGCCCAGGGAACATTTTAAATGGGGGGAGCCTCAGCATGGAGATGGTTAATAAGCAACTTATCAAGGCAGAGTTCCAAAGTCTCTTTCTTTAGACTGACAATTAGGGAGGATCCACTATACTTCAGGGGAAGCAATACTGAAAGTGGAGATGGTGGGGAAACTTTGCTTTTCAAGACCTCTATTACAGTGCAAGCAGCTCAGATTCCTCCATGGTACTAAAATAATGTGAAATATTTTTCCAGCTGTGATATCTATTTTACTTGGAGCAGTGTAAAACACGGTTATGTTAAATAACCCATACAGAATAGTTTAGTTAATCATCAACAAACTAAACGTGTCTTGTGCTCCCCAGAGGCACTTAAATTTTAGGGCCTGGAAAAGGGAGATACAAAGTGGGACTGGGGTGGGCCTCTAGCACCCAGTTATCAGCTATTTTGAAAGCCAGGCACGTACCTTTCCTCTTCTTCTGGCTGGTCTATGAATTAAATGGACAGGAGAAAGATTAATAGGAGAAAATCAAACAAAATTTTAATAACATGTATACTTGGGAGAGACCCAGGAAAACTGAATAACTCACCAAAATGGCTGAAACCCTCACGTTAAATACCATCTTCAGCTAAAGACGGAGAGGGTGTTGGGGGTAGTGATTTGGGACTTTGAAAGGGAGGAATATAATTCACAAAAGATGAAAAAGCAAATGTTTGGTAAATAAATGTTTGCTGGGCCTGCAGAGACAATGGGACACAGAGTGGACTCTGATCTTTAGGCCCTGCTGGGTTTCCCCCATACTCTTTGCAGAGATCTCTGCTGAAAGCTCTATTCCAGAACAGGGCTCCCTCACCCCCACTTTTATTTTAATTGAAGTAGAGTTGATTTACAATGTTGTGCCAGTCTCTGCTGTACAGCAAAGTGAATCAGTTTTACACATGTATACATTCTTATTTTTAATATTCTTTTCCATTATGGTTTATTCCAGGAGATTGGATATAGTTCCCTGTGCTCTACAGTAGGACCTTGTTGTTTATTCATTCTAAATGTGATAGTTTGCATCTACAAACCCCAAATTCCCAGTCCATCCCTCTCCCCCCCCCCCCCGCCCCTTGGCAACCACAGTCTGATCTCAACCAACAGTCTGTGAGTCTGTTTCTGTTTTGTAGACAGGTTCATTTGTGCCATATTTTAGATTCCACATATAAGTGATATCATATGGTATTTGTCTTCCTCTTTCTGACTTACTTCACTTAGTATGATAATCTCTAGTTGCATCCATGTTGCTACAAATGGCATTATTTTGTTCTTTTTTAATGGTTGAGTAGTATTCTATTGTATATATGTGCCACATCTTCTTTATCCATTCATCTGTCGATGGACATTTAGGTTGTTTCCACGTTTTGGCTATTGTGAACAGTGCCGCTGTGAACATAGGGGTGTATGTATCTTTTTGAATTATAGTTTTGTCCAGGTATATGCCCAGGAGTGGGATTGCTGGGTCATATGGTAGTTCTATTTTTAGTTTTCTGGGGAACCTCCATACTGTTCTTCATAGTGGCTGCACCAACTTACATTCCCACCAACAGTGTAGGAGGGTTCCCTTTTCTCCACACCCTCTCCAGCATTTGCTATTTGTAGACTTTTCAAAAAAAAAATTATTTATTTATTTGGCTGAGCCGGGCCTTAGTTGCAGCACACAGGATCTTCGTTGCCGCATGCAGGATCTTTTAGTTGCGGCATGTGAGATCTTTAGTTGCAGCATGCGAACTCTTAGTTTCGGCATGCAGGATGTAGTTCTCTGACCAGGGGTCGAACCCAGGCCCCCTGCATTGGGAGCTCAGAGTCTTAGCCACTGGACCACAGGGGAAGTCCCTATTTGTAGACTATTTAATGATGGCCATTCTGACCGGTGTGAGGTGGTACCTCATTGTAGTTTTGATTTGCATTTCTCTGATAATTAGTGATTTTTAAAAATTAATTTTTATTGAAGTATAGTTGATTTACAATGTTGTGTTAGTTTCTGCTGTACAGCAAAGTGAATCAGTTATACATATATGTATATCCACTCATTTTTAGATTCTATTCCCATATAGGTCATCACAGAGTATTGAGTAGAGTTCCCTGTGCTATACAGTAGGTTCTTATTAGTTACTTATTATATATATAGTAGTGTGTATGTGTCAATCCCAATCTCCCAATTTATCCCTCCCCCAGTAATTAGTGATGTTGAGCATCTTTTCATGTGTCCACTGGCCATCTGTATGTCTTCTCTGGAGAAATGTATATTAAGGTCTTCTGCCCATTTTTCAATTGGGCTGTTTGTTTTTTTGCTGTTGAGTCGTATGAGCTGTTTGTATATTTTGGAGATTAAGCCCTTGTCGGTTGCATCATTTGCAAATATTTTCTCCCATTCTGTAGGCTCTCTCTTTTTTTTATATGATGGTTTCCTCTGCTGTGCAAAAGCTTGTAAATTTGATTAGGTCTCATTTGTTTATTTTTGTTTTTACTTCTATTGCCTTGGGAGACTGACCTAAGAAAACATTGGTAGGATTTACGTCAGAGAATCTTTTATCTAAATTCTTTAGGCAGCTGAGGGAGAGGTAAAAAGACTTTCTGAGTCTTCAGTTTCTTAAAAATAATCAGCCTAAATTAATCCTCATGCCAAAGAGGCACACTTTGGGGTGGCAAATTTTGTTCCCCTACATCATTAACCCATTCATGTATTTAAACATAATTGTTGTTTATTGAATATCTATGTCTATCTATTTATTGATGATAAATACATGTTAGCATAAGGCATGAAGATCAAACCTCAGACTTTCTGGCAAAAAATTCAGCTAATGTAAAGTTCTCTCTATGCTGAATGTTTATCCTTCCTCCCTTGCTTTGGCTTTAGAACCAAACTGTCATTGTTTAGTAAGGTTAATTCTTCCGACTTTTGTTCACTATCCTATCATCTCTTCATTCTCTTTCGGTAATTATTTATTTGATAACCACCTCTGCCCATCTTCACTGGCTGCTATGTTTTTTAAAAATAACTGTAAGAGTAGCTTACATTAATTGAGGGTTTATTATGAGTCAGACCTGAGTTATGTGCTTCATCTATACAGTCACGCTTAATCCTTTCTGTAACCTGATAAAGAAGATGTGATTATTAAATGGAGAAAGAAACTGAGCACCAATTGTTTAAGTAAGTTGTCCAAATAACATAACTGTTTCGTGGCAGAGTTGAGATTGGAACCAGAAAGTTTGTGTCCAGTGCCTGTATTTATAACCACTTGAAGCCACCACTTTGCCTATAAACGTGCAGAACTTTGGCTGGACGCTGCTACACCCCTCCGGGTACTCACTAGCTCCCGCTTAGCTTTCACTACCAAACTTACCACGAATTCCTCTCTGATCACACTCCAATTCTTCATAGACCGTGAACCCAGGCCCCTGTATTCTGCCTTTTGTCTGACACTGTATGAAATTCATCTCTGAATGGTCATTAGTGATCAAATCCAGCAATCTTACCTTGCACTTGATTCTCTTAACTCTATCTTCCTTCTGGAAACTTTTAAACTTTTTTTTTAGCAGGTACTGCTAAGCACAGAAACTGTGTGTCTAGGAAATAGGCAGCCTAAGAAAGATGGAAAAATAAGGTCAGGTTAATATTGGAAGTTATATTGCTCAAGTGGGATTGAGAAACACTCCAAGACCCCGTGCGATTCTTGCAGGAAAACTCTCCACTTTTCCTCTCCTCTTATGCTTAACTCTCAGGGAAGATTTTGAGGCGCCCGAGCAGAGCGAGCTTTGTGAGGTGTCCTGTGTGCATGTGGGCCCAGTGTTGCCAAATCTTTCAATTTTTAAAGAGAATCTGGAAAGCCAGATCACTACATGAAAAACTCCAGCTTTTGAAATACTGTAAATTAAAATGCTAGGAAAAGAAGAATTAACAATTTGTATGTGATGTCTAAGTGAGTCAGGAAGGCATTTTACTTTTTGGCAGAAAAATTAACTCTATAGCCACCTGTTTTCAAGTTCTGCGTAGAAGACCATCAGTTCCCAAGTGCTAGCCCGTGAGTAGTAGTCATCAGTGGCAAATTTTCATTGGTGTATGTGAAATTTTTTAAAAAATGAAGTAGATTTTTGCATAGAGCTAATTCTAACCGACTTTTTCCCGTAGACTTATGTTGTCAGTGCGTTTATGACCCTGAGCTGCTCCCTAGTGGAGACAGCGTTTATAACAGCATAGAACCTTTTCAGCTGCTTTTACCTCATGCAACAAAACACTATGTGATGTCTAGTAATTTAATTTAATTTTCTAACTTTTTAAAAAAACTTTGCCTCCTTTGCATCTGGACCATGTCTTTTTCTGATTTCTCCTGCAATCGCTCTGACCATCACTTCTTTACCTCTTGGCAGATATCGCTAATTAATTTAATTAATACTTAATAAGCAATTATAAGAACCTCCATAAACTGAGCATCATTCATGTGCCACGTATTCTAAGTGCTTTTGTATACTGTCTAATTAAAATCAATCTGAAACTATTTAATGTGTGCCTACCATGTGCCCAGCACTGTGTTATATATATGTTGGGGCTATGGCAGTGAATGGAGTGAAGTAGCCTCTATTCATGTGGAATTTATAGCCTGAACTTCAGTGCTTTCCCTCACTCACTGTGGCCTCAACCCCTCCTCGTTCACAGTAGCTTTCAACACACAATTATAAATAATTAAGAAAAGAGGTATAGTTTTGTCAGTTGCTGTGAAGGAATGCTGGACTCAGGAAAGACAGATAAAATGAAAATAAGTTTTGACATGAAGGATGAGCTAGCAGTTAGCCAGGTGAAGAGAGAAGTGAAAAAGTGGCTGTTTTTTTGGTTTTTTGTTTGTTTTGTAGAGTAAGGGCAGAGGCCCCAGTAGAAGAAACTAAACATGAGATATTGGAAAAAAGAGAGAAGTCCAGGGCTTCCCTGGTGATGCAGTGGTTGAGAGTCCGCCTGCCGATGCAGGGAACACGGGTTCGGGCCCCGGTCCGGGAAGATCCCACATGCCGCAGAGCGGCTGGGCCTGTGAACCATGGCCGCTGAGCCTGCGCGTCCGGAGCCTGTGCTCTGCAACGGGAGAGGCCACAACAGTGAGAGGCCCGCATACCGCAAAAAAAAAAAAAAGAGAGAGAGAGAAAAGTCCAGAGGGAGAGAAGAGAGGGAAAGTAGGCAAGATGATGTCTGCTCAGATCTTGCTGTTAAACTCCCATCGTGCTTTGTAAAATTCCTTATAATGCTTTCTAAAATAAAAAGCATCTAGTTGCAGCTAATTGCATAATTCGTTATTTGTATATTATTTGTCTAAAATAGCTCTTTCTCACTGTGCAGATTTCCTTGAGTACAGGGGGCCGTGCGTCTTTGTCCCATTACTTAGTGTCCCATTACTAAACTCCTCCGATATGCAGATTTTGTCTTGAGTAGAAACCTGCTTTTCTAACAGGCATCATTTATCCATGAACTCAACACACAATTTCCTTACTGAGTTGGCAATATTGCATCCATCTTTTCACTAATTCGTCCATTCAATGAACATTCCTGTGTGCCAAGCAATTTAGGGAATAGTAAGGGATCCCTGGTGGCCCTACCCTTGTTCTAGACTTATGGCTAGACATAACTGAGACCCCAAATCTCATCAACAAAGCAGTAGATTACAATTTGGAAACACGGGATTTTAAGGTGTCGGGTGATTTTTTTTTCTTGGTGTGGTTTAATTATTCCTATATTTCAAAACCTGCTTTTGTTTTCCTCTCCTCAGCCCATCTGCCAGGCGGCCTATCAGAATGACTTGGGTCAAGTGTGGCAGTGGGTGAAGGAAGACGGCAACTGTATCAACGTTCAAGATGGCTTTAATGGAGACACCCCCCTGATCTGCGCTTGCAGGCGAGGGCACCTGAGAATCGTTTCCTTCCTTCTCAGAAGAAACGCTGATGTGAACCTCAAAAACCGGGTGAGGCCATGATCATGGTAGTTCCTTTCTCCTCACACGAATGGAAGCAGTGGATGTCATTTGCTTATTGTTTGTAGCTCCTAACACCAACAGTTTTGGGGGGCCTTACTTTAGAAAGACGACACACACTGAGGCCATATTACCAGGCTAAAAAGCAAAATAAAACATAGGTCAATGAACAGACATATTTTGTGGGTTTCATGTCTGATTATGTCCTTGTATTTCTAAAAAAAAAAAAAAAAAATGGTTCACTCATTTGTCTGGATAGAGCGTCTTCCTTTCTTTTCCTCCTCCCCCCCCCATGCTTTTCTTTGCCCTTCCTCTCTCCCTACTCCTCTTCCTCGCTATTACAGAAGTAAAAGGAAAGATTTCCTGGAGAACAAGTATTGACCTGGTGGTGCTATTTCATTAGTTAGATTTTTACCTACTCTGTCAATGTTCTGATCTCCAGAAGGTCCTATAATTTGCTTGTGGAATAAAAGAATTTCAGTGAGAAATTTGCCAAGAACAAATATGCTCACGAACCAGAGCCTACTTGAAACCAGACAGAAAGGCATGAAGAATATACTTACATATGTATTATTAGCTGACTTGGAGTCTTCAGAACTAAGGAAGAGCAGGACGTGCCGTGAACATCCTTTCAGAACCCCTTGGGAACATCCAGTGTCTGCATCATAGTAAGGCAACATTTAAAGTACACTAAGTAAATATAAAAAGTCACTCTTTGTAATAATTATGAATGTCCTGTACCCACTCAAGTACATTCAATGAGGGAAAATAGCCTGTAGGGCCCTACTTCTCCCTTTCAAGTCAGTTTAAAGTCTAGCTCATTGGGAGTAATAATATATTATCAGAAAATGGATCACTACTGGACTTTCTTTTAATTTTTTTATTTTTAAAATTTTATTTATTTATTTATTGGCTGCATTGGGTCTTCATTGCTGTCCGTGGGCTTTCTCTAGTTGCCACCAGAAGGGGCTATTCTTCGTTGTGGTGCACAGGCTTCTCATTGCGGTGGCTTCTTTTGTTGCAGAGCGTGGGCTCTAGGCCCGCAGGCTTCACTAGTTGTGGTACGTGGGCTCAGTAGTTGTGGCTCATGGGCTCTAGAGTGCAGGCTCAGTAGTTGTGGCGCGTGGGCTTAGTTGCTCCGTGGCATGTGGGATCTTCCTGGACCAGGGCTCAAACCCGTGTCCCCTGCACTGGCAGGCGGATTCTTAACCACTGTGCCACCAGGGAATTCCACTACTGGATTTTCTTGTTTGTGCTTCCTATTTTTTGTGGGTTGGGTTTAAAAGCAAGTCATGGCTGTGTTAATCTAACAGATAGGCTGCTTAGTGGAGTGTGACATGATTGCCCCAGCACCCAGCTGAAGAACCAGGTGTCTGGCCTTGTGGTGAGATGGGGTGGCCAAGACAGATGTCTCTGGGTTTGTGCCCTCTCAGGAGACTTGCTGGTTAGGAAGCTGAGGGAGGGAGATGTTTGTCAACACAGGGACAGGGCTGAGGCGGCATGCTTATCTCTGTTTTGCAGAGAACCTGAGCCAGGCTGCTTATGGAAATCCTGGGAAGGACTTCAGTGGATACCTTAGCAGAGATTTTATGAGAAGTGTTTGGTTTGCAACTGTCCATTTAAAAAATATTTTCAATGGTTTTTAAAGGTTTAATCTTTTCCATTTTCCCCAATACTAATCCTTGTACATTAATAATCTGAATTGGTGCTTTCCCGTTTCTTAAGTCTATATTTGAGTTCTCTTCAGAAGTACTGAACAGAGGCCTTAAAAGCAAGCAAACAAAAAGCTCTGGTGTTGGTACAGATGTACATACATGCCCAACAGAGTGACGGATTGTATGGAAAGCAAATTAAACTAAAACATAGAGATATCTTTCTGTTGTGTTGTTTGTTTGTTTTGGTGTGCCAGATTGACCAGGATTAAGACAGAAAATCTAATGCTGATCAGGAAGGAAGTTTAAATCATTATCATTTTACCAGAGCACAATTTAGCAGTACAGTGTGAGGGGCATCAATGCCTTCCTTGTATGCCAGGAATTCTATCTTTTGAAACTTATGCTAAGGACACATTTAGAAATGTTGACAAAGCTTTATACATGAGGATTCAAGCAATGTTATTTGTGAAAATGAAAAGTTAAAATTACTTGAAATGTTCAACAGGTAGGGTTTGGCTAAATAAATTCAAACAGCTCCATAGAAGAGTAAACAGTGCAGCCATAACAGTTACATGTTTAAAAATATTAAATGTCATAGGAAGATGCACATATTCTACATGTTAATTGAAAAAAAAAGCAGGTATAATTTTGCATGTGCAGTATGATCCTACACTGAAAAATTCCACATATATGCATTTTAAAGACTGGAAGAAGATACAGCAAACTATCAACAGTTAACTCTGGGCTGTTGGATAATGGGTGATTTTAAATTCTATCCTTATACTCTTGTCTAGTTTGCAAAAATTTTTACAGAGAACACAGATACCATTAGAAAAACAAAAATATTCTTATTTAAGAAGAGTAGAAATGAACTTCTCTTTTCTTCCTGACTTTCCTCTCTTCTCATTGATTTGGTTGGAATTCCAGTCACCATAGCTTGTTTTGCATTACACTTATTTGTGCCTGTTTCGGTCTACCTTTGCTTTGATTATGAGGCCCTGAGGTTTTATAATCCCCGCAATTCCTAGAAGCTTAAATCTGTCACCTGATAATTATTCATGTATTTGAAGAATTAAACTGAGTTATTTCCATTCGTCCGGCACTGCTTGTGTTCATGTAGGAACATGGAAAAATTGCCATGTGGTTAAAATTTTCCTATAAACAAACCACAAAATGAATAATTGTGTACCATAGATGATTAAGGAGTAACTATAGGTTTTCATACTAAATTGTCCTATGTTTATATCTCCATGTATTTTTTTCCCCAAACAAAATGAATGTGAGAATCTGTCTTTTGATGATTCGTAAAAGGTACATTTCACTTGTCTTTCTATGGCCCAACTTTTCCTTTAGACTGTACTGTGTTCAATATTCTGGTCAATGGAATTCTGGGTTTATTAATTAGATTTATTCCACAGGAAAGAGATGCCATGGATACCACAAAAATAAAAAGTGTGGACTAAATTTTTTGATAGGGTAATCTAAAAATATGCAGTTTAAAACAATATTTTATTAATAAATAGTCCTTTTCTTAATTTTTTAGAAACAGAGAACCTGCTTGCATTATGCTGTGAAGAAAAGATTTACCTTCTTTGATTATCTACTCATTATCCTCTTAATGCCTGTCCTGCTTATTGGCTATTTCCTCATGGTGAGTACAACACTCGTGAGAGCAAAAGATAAATGAGTACAAATGAGTAAGAGATCGACAGCACGAGTCATTAAATTTTGCCAAGTTGGTGAGACGTAAATAAAAAGTAACAAAGTAAGCTCTTCGTTTGTATTCTACAAATGGCATCTCTAACATACATGCAATGCTATGACTGAAGTAAAGCAAGAAGAAAGGTAGCCCGGTAAATCAGTCAATGGTAAAATCATCTGTGCAATGTTTATTAGGAAAAATAAATTAAATTTGTTTAAGAATCTTCTGAAGGAAAAGCAAAAATCCTGAATATTAAAAAGAATCCCCTCCCTACTATTTCTTTTCTTTCTTTAAAATTTATTTATCTATCTATCTATTTATTTATTTATTTATATGGCTGCATTGGTCCTCGCTGCTGCACGCGGGCTTTCTCTAGTTGCGCTGAGTGGGGTCTTCTCTTCACTGAGGTGCGTGGGCTTCTCACTGCAGTGGCTTCTCTTGTTGCGGAGCATGGGCTCTAGGCGCTCGGGCTTCAGTAGTTGTGGCTTGCGGGCTCTAGAGCGCAGGCTCAGTAGCGCACGGGCTTAGTTGTTCCACGGCATGTGGGATCTTCCTGGATCAGGGCTCCAACCCGTGTCCCCTGCACTGGCAGGCGGATTCTTAACTACTGTGCCACTTATTCTTCTATTGTGAAGAATAAGTCATTAATCCAATAGTGACAGAACACATGTGAAGTTCCTATGAGGTAGTTGGTAGAGAGAGGTGGTCAGTGTTAGGAGAGCCCAGAGGAGAGGGATGTCGCCTGGACAGGTAGGTTAGGGACAGCCTCCTGGAGGGAGAGGGGCCTGGGCTGAGATATTAAAGATGAACTTACCAGGCAAAGAGGAGAGAGGAGGCTTCTAGGCAGAAGAAACATTCAGGGCAGCTCTTCTATGGCACGGGGGAGCCTGGTGGGAATGAAAGACTAACCGAGGCCAAGGTGAGCCGGGGCTGTGGATGAGATGCCTGGGGCCATAAGCAGAGGGAAAAATATATGGCACCTTGTCACAGGCTGAAGACTTTGCTTTAGCCCCTGGAGCAATGGGATGATAGAAGGGTTTTGACCAAGGAAGGGAAAGACCGGCCACTGGACTCCATCCTCAGTAGGATTTGGCAGGAGTGGGGTAGGGCCCCAGATTTTGCATTTTTAAGTCCCAAGGTGCTGATACTGTTACTCCAGGGCCACACTCTGACAACCATGGCTTTACCTAATTAATATTAAAGAGCAGTGAGGAGGTGGGGGAGAGTTTAAGAAAGATGCATAGACGCGTAGGGGTGTTGGGATTAAAATGAAGCCTATTGATTGGAGTAGTCCAGACGTAAGAGGGAGACAATGTTTGTAAATAAACCTCTCTTGTTCTTGTGCTTGCTGTTTGTCATAGGTATCAAAGACAAAGCAGAATGAGTCTCTTGTACGAATGCTACTTAACGCTGGTGCCGAAGTTAATGCTACAGATTGTGTAAGTTTACATTTTTAGTCACTTTGAAATGACATTGCAAATGGTATTTGTGGGTAGTGTACTTGTCAGCTATAAAGTTGCTCGCTTCATTTTCCGAAACACTTGTACATTTAGTTTCTGCTTCCTTCCCCTCCTTCCTTCTTTCCTTTTTACTGCGTCAGGCAACCTTGATATTGTTTATATTCTGTCACTGAACTCACGGGAATAACATTTTTATTGAATATAGAACATGTTTAAAAGAACTGCCCCACCACTGGTGGGGAGTTAAGAAAAATGCAGGCTCTGATTACAAAATTCCACTGTCAGTAGTTAAGCTGGAGTCAGAATGCCTATGTGTAAACCTAGGCTTGCCACTTTTTACCTATGTGAGTTTTGGCAAGTTTTAAACATACCGGACTCTCGGTTTCCTCATCTGTAAAATGGGAACATCACTAGTCCTTACTTATAGGGATCATACGGTATTTGTTTTTCTCTTTCTGACTTACTTCACTCTGTATGACAGACTCTAGGTCCATCCACCTCACTACAAATAACTCAATTTCGTTTCTTTTTATGGCTGAGTAATATTCTGCTGTATATATGTGCCACATCTTCTTTATCCATTCATCTGTCGATGGACACTTAGGTTGCTTCCATGTCCTGGGTATTGTAAATAGAGCTGCAATGAACATTTTGGTACATGACTCTTTTTGAATTATGGTTTCCTCAGGGTATATGCCCAGTAGTGGGATTACTGGGTCATATGGTAATTCTATTTTTAGTTTTTTAAGGAACCTCCATACTGTTCTCCATAGTGGCTGTATCAATTTACATTCCCACCAACAGTGCAAGAGGGTTCCCTTTTCTCCACACCCTCTCCAGCATTTATTGTTTCTAGATTTTTTAATGATGGCCATTCTGACCGGTGTGAGAGAATATCTCACTGTAGTTTTGATTTGCATTTCTCTAATGATTAATGATGTTGAGCATTCTTTCATGTGTCTGTTGGCAGTCTTATAGGGATCATTATGTGAAGTGTTGGGCAGAGTGCCTGGCACATAGTAAGTGCTCAATGAATCCTAACAGCTGCTGCTGCAGCCAAGATCCCAACCCACTGGTGAGAAGGGCCCCATCTGCAAACTAAGGAAAGATAAGGACAAAGGTCAAAGAGAACTCCAAATGACAGTAAGAACAGCGATAACAGGAGTACCATTAGCTAACTTCTCCCTGTTTATAAGGTTTTGTCTTCACCTTTGGCCCCAAACCTTTGCACTCATTTTCTTCTCTCAAAAGTTTACTTGCATGAAATAGTTCCACAAAAATGGTGTTCAGACTGTTTGTTTGGCTTAGCTGTACATTACAAAATATGAAAAGTGCTTGCTAAAGAGGCCATATGCTGCAGTGTGTAAGGATTCCGACTGATGTCGATCCTCTGTGTTTCAGTATGGCTGCACTGCGCTACATTATGCCTGCGAAATGAAAAACCAGACTCTCATCCCTCTGCTCCTTGCAGCCCATGCAGACCCCATGATAAAGAACAAGGTAAGGATCTTTGGACCTTGGTCTGAGGTTCTTCTATCATCATAACCTTCTAACTTTGGCTTTGTGTTGACATAAATTAATTGCCTCTGAAGTTGTTAAGAGCAAATCAATTGTCCTCATTAAGGAATCAAGTTATCCTATTAATGCTAGAACCGAATGACAGTCAACATTGTCTGTCATTCGGTTCTAGCATTAATAGGATGACATTGTCATTGCATTGACATTTGACTTTCTTGGAGATAAATAGCTATGATTTCTTTTTCTCCTCAGCATGGTGAGAGTTCCCTGGATATTGCACAGAGATTAAAATTTTCCCAGATTGAATTACTGCTAAGGAAAGCGTCATAATCATTATGACCTCATATGAAGAAGTACAAAAAGGACTGGATTCTGTTTCCATCTTGGACTGTTGGTCTGTGGACCACTCAATCTGGAGGTCACCATGGTATGAGGATAACTATGGTTGCCACGGGTAATGTTTTGGAAGAGCTTTGTATTTCTAATGTTTTTTTTGCTCAATGGAGTTCACTGTGGTCAAAATCCTTCTAGAGGAAACACTAGAGCTGTCGGATTCTCCACTGCAGTCAAAAAAGGGTGATGTTTCAAACTCAGTCTCTCCTAAAGGAGAGGATCGGCGTTATCCACGTTATCTGTTTTCAGTTGTGTTGCTCTTATAAAGAGGCTGTCCCATCCATATCCTGCCCCAGGAGAAAAACTGTTCTTCTGAGGCTCCTTTGAGGAAGAATCAAAGCGTGCTCATTTGTATAGAATGGTGTGCGTATGTGTGCCGGTTTAGAGATTCGTATATAAATATTCCAGCTTCAACAAAATCGTCTATCAGTTGTCACCACAGATATTGGCAAACGCTACAAGTCAGAGCCTTGTTTTCCTTTCCAAGGAGCCAGTGTACCAGCATACCTCTAGATGTTTTGCTATCAATTTACAAATAAGAGCCGTCTTGATTTTGAAAAACATTATGTAACTATCAAGTTGTTTATTGAAAAATTGCTTATGATTCTCTTGTGAATGCAAAGCAGTTACTAATCTTGTTATACTGTTTATTTTTTATTCATAAAATTAAAACTATTACTGTAAATTATTTGTATAAAGTAATTCTTTACAAGAAATAGAGCTATATGATGAGGTAGTGTCTGGATTATACTTCTAGAGGAGAGATTGTGAATATCAATATATCTCTCTCAAATTCTTTGTCAGTGACACAGAGCAGAAATAACCACATTTGAAAATGACTGAGGGGGCTTCCCTGGTGGCGCAGTGGTTAAGAATCCGCCTGCCAAGGCAGGGGACACAGGTTCGAGCCCTGGTCTGGAAGATCCCACATGCCGTGGAGCAACTAAGTCCGTGCGCCACAACTACTGAGCCTGCGCTCTAGAGCCCGCGAGCCACAACTACTGAAGCCCGTACGCCTAGAGCCCGTGCTCCGCAACAAGAGAAGCCACCGCAGTGAGAAGTCTGCGCACTGCAAGGAAGAGTAGGCCCCACTCGCTGCAGCTAGAGAAAGCCTGCGCACAGCAACAAAGACCCAACGCAGCCAAAAATAAATAAATAAATTTATTTTTAAAAAAAAAACAGACTGAATTTTGCAAAGCAAGACTGAATCATGAATATTTTTAGACATGGACTAAGCCACACCGTGTGGTAACAAATATAGTCTAAGAATGAAAGATTTACCATCCTTGAACAGAACAAAGGTCTAATAAAAATCAAATCCAGGAATATTTATTGAACTATGCACAGTGTCTTAAGGCACATATTTTGTGAGGGAAGTAGTTGTATGTAGATATAGATTCTGAAGCCCTTAAACATCTCTTTCTACATTATTTAAGATCCATTCACATTGAACTGAGTTATCAGGTGACTGAGGATTGAAAGAAAAAACAAGTGAAACGTCACACATCAGTATACTTTCAACACATTGCCAGTATACCTTCAATTTGGTGTCAGAGTTTCGCAAAATTACCATGCCACGTAATTTATAAGTGTTGTCTCTGAAACTGTGAAAATTGGACAATTTTCTAAAGAAATAAATCCAGATTTATAAATGAGTTGGGTGATTGTCTAATAATACCTTTGTCAAGATCAAAGCATAATGTTTTATTATGCTCATGACATTTTAAAACTTTCTTCCCAGCATTTAATTTTTGAAGGCAGAAACCTGGGCCAGACATTTGAAACCAGAAGTTCTCCCAGCGGCAAGCTGTAAACTCTCAAACAAGCTTGGACTAGAACCTAGGTACTGAAATACACATGCATGCTTTACGCAATGCATATTGCATTAATTAGAAAACTCAAAATACCCTACAAAATTATCTTCTCTGACACTCAACTACAAAACTTGGCCTTTTCATCTCTATTTGTACATTGATTTTTCTTTTTCTTTTAAAGATCTTTTTTTTTTTTTAAAGATTTTTTTTTGATGTGGACCATTTTTAAAGTCTTTATTGAATTTGTTACAATACTGCTTCTGATTAATGTTTCAGTTTCTTGGCTGCGAGGCACGTGGGATCTTAGCTCCCCGGCCAGGGAATGAACCCGCACCCGCGGCATTGGAAGGCGAAATCTTAACCACGGCACTGCCAGGGAAGTCCCTTCTTTTTCTCTTTTGGTTAAAGCAGCTTGGCTTCCTGAGGTAGTGTTATGTATCTGTAGCAATAAGGTGAAAACATCTAGCTTATTTTGTCAAATTCAACAACAATCCAGAGATTTAAGATCGTGACCCCAATTTGTCATTTTATTTTATCGTTCCAAAAATGTGGCTCGTAGACAAAAAAATAAATGTTTTAAGGAAATTTACCTGAATGACATAAAGAATGTCTAGATAATTTCTAGCTGTCAGGTAAAACCTACCCTTCAAGATGGCAGAACACATAATAGCACATGAAAAGTATGTTCACCCAATGAGTCATTTAATTAACTGAAAAAATTAAATGCCAGTTTTAGTGCCAAATGTAGAAAATCTAAAGGAATGTATACTGTATTTCTGCCTTCCCTTCTACTAATATGGTAGGTTTCCAATGCTGGAAATCTTTAAAGTCCTCCATTCATGTACGCCGGCCCCATCTTTCATGAGGTTTTTCCTAAGACTTGTCATTATCAGATGCTTCACAAGCTGACACTGACAGCTCCCTAGGAAATACTTGTCTCTTCCTGCTTCATCAGACGTATTATTTCATTGTACATACGGTGAGGAGCATCCAGACCCCAGATGAAATCCACGTGAGCCCATTCAGGAATGTTCTTATGGTAGATGATGTTGGTCACCTCGGAGAGCAGTATTCTCACGTCTTCTGGATTTGAAAGCCAGTCCTGACCCCCAGTCCACATTGCTGTAGGGACCGTCATGTCTCTAACTTTGTACCTTGCAGGAGCTGTCTAGAATAAAGGAATAGTTTTTAACTGTAGATAACATTTGGACTTCCAGACTCATAATTTACTTTTCTAATAAACACAGTAAATATGCCTTGTGTTGTAATGAAAGGTGCATGGGCACTAAAGCCATATAGAACTGCATTAAGAGTTTCTGCTCCAACCTCTGCTTGAAGGAAAAAAATTGACTTAGTCTCACTGAACCTCAGTTTCTTCATCTGCGAAATGGGGATGATATCTGAAATAATTTACTAGATGAAATGAGAAAACATCTCAATTGCCTAGCACTTTAGGCGTTACATGTTCAATTCTTTTCCTTCCTATTAATAAATATTTAACACACAAAGTGCCTTTTAAAAGTTAACGCTCCTATCTTTTTCAAAGATAATTTCACAAAGTTTCATGAGGCCAGATTTGGAGATACTCTACAGAGAAAGGCAAGAGGATGGAACCTACTGAAAAGGACTTGGGTGTTCACAGGGGTTTTCTGTCCTAACAGAAAGCCCTTGGGGCACACCCAGCTTGACTGTGTCTCCAGAAACATGGGGAAGTCAATGGCACTGGAACTCAGGGAGTTGGATCAAGAGGAGATAAAAATTAGATTCGGAGTCCAGTCCCACATCACCCAAAGAAGGTTATCTAGGATTCCTAATTCTTGAGAACTTCCCTTATTCAAACAGATCTGCTAGATCAAGCTGGCTGACTGAGAGCCCTGGAGGTTAACCAACACTCAGAGCTTTCAACAGACATGTCAAGGTCCACTTCTCACTCAGAAAATCCACCTGGAAGCCGGGGTTCCAATCCCGGCAGTCCTTGTTTCTCTTTGTGGCTTTTAAGAATTTGAAGTTATAGCGTCTGATACTGTGAGTTATAATAAGACATATGTATGTGGTCTTCATCCACATTTGTGGTACAGAGCTCCTAATAACCCTCGGAGTTTCCTAAGTGACAGGAGCCATAAAGGTGTGTTTTGTGACGTTAATGAGGTGAGTTTTTGAACAGGATGGGGGCTGAGCTCCAGAAGTGGAGCCAAGCAAGTGATTAGGGAGTTGGAAATTTCAGTCCCATTCATGACCTCTGGAGAGGGGAGATGGGCTGGAGATTGAGTTCAATCGCCAGTGGCCAATGATTTAACCAGTTGGACCTCTCTAAGGAAGCCTCCACAAAACCCCAGAAGGACAGGGTTCAGAGCCTCCAGGTTGGTGAACATGTGCAAATGTGGGGAGAGTGGCCCCATGGAGAAGACATGGAAGCTCTGCTCCCCTTCCCTTGCTCAGTGCAACTCTTTTATCTGGCTGATCCTGAGTTATATCCTTTTATAATAAACCAATAATCTAGTAAGTAAAGTGTTTCTCTGAGCCAATCTAGCAAATTAATCAAACCTCAGCCTGAGAAGGGGGTCATGGGAACCTCTGAATTATAGCCAGTGGGTCAGACACACAGGTGACAGCCTAGGCTTGCGATTGGCATCCGAACTGAGGCCCGAGCCCTCAACCTGTGGGATCTGATGTTATCTCTGGGTAGACAGTGTCAGAATTGAGTTAAACTCTAAGTCACCCACCTGGTGTTGGAGAATTGCTTGTTCATGTGGAGAAACTCCCCTCCACACACATATACTGGAATTTGGTGGTCAGAGTAGAGTAACTTAGATACGAAGTTTTTTATAGAGTAACTTAGATACGAAAGGTTGGAATATTCGATGGAGCCTGTAATATGTTTTTCTCATCTAACAGGTGAAAAGACTGAACTGAAAGTCAGGTGTAGCTCTGTGAGTCTATGACACCATTTTGCATGTGTGTTTTCTCTTTCTTTCCATGACCATTTTCTGGCACCTGCTCTGCACAAGTCACTTTCTCTCTAACTCATGACCTTAAATGTTAATAAATTAAATCTTATCTTGGAACTAGGATGCTTTCTCTAAAGATATATTTTAGGAAACAATGAAGAAGGATCTTAAAAATGTAGCTGGTACCTGTGATTGAGGGTTTGCTATTCAGAGGCACGACAGTGGTCTGTCCAATTTCCGAGACTTTTATATCTAGATATACAGAAGTACGTCTACAGAAGTGGATGTTAAGTGTGATATGAGACTCTCAAAGATTAGCCTGTGTGTGTTTTCTGCTCCCTCCAGCTTTATGTGTGTAGTCAATATTTGCTTACATTCTCACACAAGCTAACCAATAATCTTCAGTGAAGGTTTTATGCTTAGAAAAGTTTAATACTCATTTCTAATTCTCCATAACTTTTGTTTTAAATTTTATTCCACAACATTGGTTACACACATAGATTTTCTTGGGTAATATTGTTTTATATTTTTCACTTGCAAATTACAGATTCATTAAAAGTGTGACCAGGGAGAACTCTTACATGTAATCTAGTCCAGTAATTTTTATTTTAAAGAGAAAGAGATTGAGCCCTGAAGAATCAAAGCAGCCTAGCCATGATCATACAAATTTGTAGTGCAGAGGCAAAACTAATAGAGTAATTCCCACTTGTCATTAATACTCTTTTTACTTTACCATGAGCCAACCTCACCCCTGCCATCCGCATTTGTGGTTTTCTTCTGTTGTTTTTGTTGTTTTTAATCTTGAAAGATCCTCTAGCAGCCACCACAGACTACACCCTTCCCTTCACTAAGTCTACCCATCTTGCTCCTAAGAAGCCCCGTGCCTTGTTCATGGAGGCAGCCTCATCAAAAAAGTTCTCCTACTGCATTATAAAAGTGGTTCTCTTTAACCCTTAAAAGTCTCTTG